ATTCATATTTTATGTATTACTGAACATTGGTTAAAAACTCATAATTTAATGTTTAACTTCAGTAATCACCAGGTGGTCAGTTCTTTCAATAGAGAAACGGTTTTAAGAGGTGGCTCCTTAATTTTAGTTAGTAAATTACTCGTATTATCATGTAAAGAACGTAAAGATATTGTAAGCCTCTCTGTTGAGCGAACTGTAGAAATAGCATGTGTTGAGTTTGAGCACCTCATTGTTGTGAGCATTTACAGACCCCCATGTTCTTTATATGATACTTTTGAAAAAATTTTGGAGGAAGTTTTTGCTAAGCTTAATAAACAGAATAAATCTGTTGTAATATGTGGAGACTTTAATATCAATCTCCTAGAAGCTTCCTCCACCAATATTAAATTAAGATCATTGTTTAAATCTGATGGTCTTATTAATTAATTTTTGGAGCCAATGCATATTGCTGAATCTAGTGCAACATGTATAGATAACATTTTTACAAATGTTAAGCCGTTCAATAAATGTATTATTCAAAACTTGAGCTCTGATCACTGTGGACAATTAGTTTCGTTACCTTATGTTCACAAAAAGTAAGTAAATAAAAAAGTAGTGTTTGTTCCAGTAAATGCACGTCGCTTGGAGAAGTTTAGAAGTAACATAGTAAAAAAACTTCCATCACTTTCGTACCAAAATAATCCAGATTGTTTGTATGGAACATTATTTAACCTTATTTGCAATGAATTTAATAATACTTTTACTTTTAAAACATTCTCCTTGAACAATCGCAAGGCATTTAATGAGTGGGCGACAGTAGGAGTCCATAAGAGTAGACAAAGGTTATATGAACTTTACAATGAAAGGTCATATAATCCTAGTTTCTTAAATTTAGACTAGAAATTGGGACGGTTAGCTCTCGCAATTCGAACTATCAGTTAAGTTTTAACAATAAATTAATTGAATCAGATCAGGACGTTGCAATGGTTTTCGAGAAATATTTTACTGATATTCCTATCTTAACCACTAAGTCACTGAATTTTTCTCCTGCCGTCGCCGAATCATTACTTAAACAAAATGTAAATGCGTGTGTTTCATAAAGTGTCATCAAAAGATATTCTAAAATATTTCAAGACTATTGATATTAAGAAAACCGCCGATCTGTGGGGGATTTCCGTTAAAGTTATTGCGTCTATAATAGATGCAATCGCACCTCAACTATTTATTATTTTTAATACTAGTATCAATTCTGGTGTGTTTCCTGATTTAATGAAGCATAGTAAAGTAATACCTTTATTTAAATCTGGCAGTACATTGGACCCCGCTAATTTTAGACCTATTTCTATACTGCCAACACTTAGTAAAATTTTTTCCAAAAATTATTCTTGATCAAATGTTAATTTTTTTTTAATGTAAATAATTTACTTCATAAAAATCAATTCGGTTTCACAAGGGGTCGCTCAACAACTGATGCTGGTGTTGAGCTTATTAAATATAATAATAATAATCTTTAATGCATGGGAGAATTCTCAGGATGCTTTGGGTATATTCTGTGACCTATCCAAGGCCTTCGATTGTGTTCACCATGAAACATTAATCAGGAAACTTCAACACTACGGTGTAAGAAGTGATGCTCTTAAATTAATTATTTCATATTTAAGTGACAGAATGCAAAAAGTTGTAATTAATAGTATGAGTTCTTCCGGGTAGACTGTACAAATGGACGTGCCTCAGGGCTCAATTCTCGGCCCCTTTCTGTTTCTTGTATATATTAATGACTTACCTTACATAGTAGGGGATAACCATGATATAGTATTATTTGCTGATGATACTTCATTAATTTTCAAATTAAAACGACAGTTATTAAATTACGACGAAGTAAATAATGCTATAGCTAAGGTAGTCAATTGGTTTAATGTCAATAATTTGCATTTAAATGAAACTAAAACTAAATGTATAAAATTCGTAACCCCTAATGTCAAACATATTATTACGAATATAATTTTAAATGGGGAAGAACTGAGTCTTGTTGATACCACCATTTTTCTTGGAATCACACTAGACGCAAAGCTTCAATGGCTCCCCCATATATCAAAACTAGCTAGCAGACTTAGTTCTGCAGCATATGCTGTAAAAAAGATTAGAACTCTTACCAGTGTTGAAACAGCAAGAATAGTTTACTTTAGTTATTTCCATAGCATTATGTCGTATGGTATTTTGCTATGGGGACACGCGACTGACACTGAAATTATATTTATTTTACAGAAGAGGGCCATTAGAGCAATATATAATTTAAAACCAAAAGAGTCACTGAGACAAAAATTTAAGGAAATTAATATATTAACTCTGGGCTCTCAATATATTTATGAAAATGTAATGTATGTACACAAGAATAAACGTAGTTTTGCAAAAATAAGTGATATTCATTCTGTAAATACTAGGAACAGACAGAAGCTAGTAGTACCAGTAACTCGACTCCACAGAGTCAGTAATTCATTCTTGGGGCGATGTGAATGATGATGAAATTTGTCATACGCAAAGTTCAAAAATTTTATTAAACTAAGTTTGTATAAAAAGGGTTATTATAATATTAAGGAATTTATGGATGACAGTAACCCCTGGGAAGGGTGATCGCTACCAAGCTATTTCTAATTTGTGTTGTGTTGTTAATTGTATACATGATTGTAAGCTATTATTTGAAAAAAAAATTGTTCTGCTGGGTTTCTTGCTGGTTCTTCCCAGGACAGAGGTTTTTTTTTGCGAAGCAGTGGTAAATGAAAAAATTGACTTTCAATAAGTATTGCTTATAATCTACATTGAATAAAAAAGTTTCTGTTTCATATGTACATAATAAAACGATAACACTACATTGAAATCTTTTAAATGGTGGCATGTGCATAGCAATTCATAAGCATTCTGAGTGAACAGGAAAAAAAATTCAAATTAATTCATATGCATTCTGACTATAAGGGTTAAGGGAAGTCTATATTTAGTTGCAGTAAATTTGTAATAGGTTGCAATGGTATAATGATAATACTCTTATAAATTTACTAGCTGAAAACCGCTCATTTCGCTGGGTGCATGCTAATATTTAATTATGGAACCTAAAAGTAAAATCAGCATGGGAGATAGATATACAACAACAAGTGAACACAGGAAATAGAGTAAATGGGGCTCTACACTCTATTCTGGAAAGTCAGAATGTATCAAAAAAAGCACGTATGGCAATTCACAATGCTGTGTTAGTCCCCACTTTAACATATGGTAGAGAAAGTTGGGTGTGTAGAGTAGAATAAATGCAGTAGAAATGCAGTTGTTAAGGAGTATGTTAGGGCTGAATCTGAGTAACAGTGTAATCTGAATGTAGTTTGTAAGATGATGTTGTGACCAGGATTAAGAAAGGAATGCTTTAGTGGTTTGGTCATGTGGAAAGAATGAATGAAGAAAGAATGAGTAACCCTAACTGATGACCATGTATGCATAGGTATATGAATGTGGAGGAAGCAAGAGAGGTGTGTCAGGATCACATCAAATGGAAGTCTGTAGTCTCTGCCTACCCGTCTGGGGGACAGGGGTGAGTGCTTATGTATTTATGTATTATGTAGAATTAAAATATTAAGAATTTTTTTTGATGGGACTATCATAAAATCCATTCTTAGTGAGCATCTACATTGCAAAATGAGTATCTATATAAATTTCGAGTCAATCAGATGTATAGTTTTAGAGATCTCTTGATGAGTTAGTCAGTGGTATTTAGCCTATATATATATATATAGAGTGACAAACTGGTAAGACATGCAGGAAGTTGATGGATGTAGGTAGCTTAGGACTCTGCTTTGTGGCATTCCTTGGGGGAGGCCTATGTTCAACAGAGGACTTGTGAAGGGCAGTAATGATGATGATAATGATATCAATTTAGTCATTAGCTTAAACAAATTTCAACAACATTACTTTATAGAATAAGACAACCAAGCAAGCACACATTCAACCTGATTTAATTATTATTATGCATAAACAAACTGACTTTGATCCCTGCCAGTACCAACAACAATATTAGTTTACATTTAAAATGCTGCTTTACTATATGCTTGACGGTGAAGTTAAAGTTAGTTCCTACTAGTTCAACTGATTAGTTCAACCTGTGTAGCACTTCAACTGAATATAAATCCTTTTGATTTTATGATGGTAAGTGGATGCTGTAGCCCATAGACATCTAAAGTTATCCTCAATTACGAATCAAAATGCTCAAACGTTGTCACCCCTAAGGACTTAGATAGAGTGGCCATATTACCAGTAAAAAGGAACTGTAGTTTTTTACACATGCCTATTATGCTGTTCTACGCTAATATTCTATGAGAGTGTGGTCCTACCCCAGTTGAGCCAACCCCTTTATATTGCAGCCATAAAACAGCTGCAATCTGGCTTTACTACATAAAGATATGCATATAATATTTAGAGTCATCAATCATTAGATTATGCATATAAATATTAACTTAAACTTCATAACTATATTTGTGCATATTTTATGAGAGAGTGAGAGAACTATGAAATCACAATGATTTTATGCACTTAACTAAACAACTAATTTTTCTAGCAATGTACAATAATGTTTTGAAATCACTGAATGTTTGAATTTATAAATACGAATTCATTTATATCATAAAACATACTACTAAAAGTAACAATAGCGATGAGTAGCAGCGTGCAAAGGGGAAAAACCAGTCGATCCAGTTTATTTACGCACACTAAAATAGAATTTTACGAATTAATGCAAGCAATTAATTATTAATATTAGTTTCGAACAAACTATTTCCATAAGTTACGAAAATAAATAATTAAAAAAAATATATTTGACGGTAATACGAGAAAATCCGTAAAATATTGTCGCGAAACTCTCGTCTCCCATCAGTTCCAAAGTGCAGCAAAAAGATTTCACGTACAAAAAATCGCCTCAAGGGCCCAATTACTCTTAGGAAAACAGTGTGACATCTTAATAAAACAGATGAAAGCGCTTTACTTACGGTGCCTGCAGAAAACTCTTGCCCCGTAATCCAATTACAAACAATTTCTTCGTTATTCAAATGAATAAAAAAATAACACAAAAGAACGAACACATATATAATTAGTGTGAAAAGTAGTTTGACGGATTTGTCTTACATTAAAATTGTATCAAATAAAGTAAAAGTCGTGGAAACTGCTATTACAATTACAACAAAAACAAATAAACCTTTACTTCCATTTACTTCGCTCAACTCAAGTGCAATCACAAACCGCAAACTTCATTTGATTGAACATTTCACAATCATGAAGTTTGCAATGATTTAGGAGTATCGATATATATCGATACTTCATATGATATCGATATATACTTTCGATATATCGAATCGATCCGATATTATCGAACCGATCCGATATTATCGAACCAACTGATATCGATATAAATTACAAGTACACCTTTTTCACATTTACTCTGAACATAATTTCTTTATAATTTGAAATAGACGTTCTGCAGTACAGAACATTTCAAATCAAGATAATTTTTGTTTGGCTACGAATTCTAATTTCAAATTAATTTTATTTTAAACTCAAGGATTTTTTTTTCAAAATTAGTCATTTGTCCATTGATTAGCCTTATGTTTTACCATATTTGAATCTTTTTCGTCATCATAGATACGTTAAAAATTCGACTAATTATGGAATATGAGTGCCTTCGTGGCAGCAGCGCGGTACAGGGGCACGTAGCACAAATGATTACGGAGCGAATACTTCAAACGAACGCACCATATGTTATTGGTTTGCCCGCTTCCATTTTGGAAGGTTCAGCCCGAAAAGTGAACCCTGTTCAGATCACGTCGGGTGGTCACCACTGTGGCCGAATTAGGAAAAGCGGAGATCTCCCGCCGGGCGGTGTTATGCCCGGGGAGTGGCCACACTCCGTGTGATAGTTCGGAGATGTTCTATATATGCTGTTTATGATTCGGAATGTTGATAGCGTGATTTAAGCTTCGGTGTGTTTCGCTTGCGGCGCGACGACAGCGCCGCCACATCACCCCCCTGCTCAGACCGGAGGTCGATAGTGCAGTCCGATTGCCGGTGTGTCCTTTTAATGCCGGTGGGGAATGCATGCTGTGTGCGTAAGGGCAAGTGACACCGGTGCGAATGATATGCCGATGTGTAATGCATGCCGTACTACGCACTGGCAAGTGATGCCAGTGGGAACGATGTGCCGAAGCAAGTACCAGAAGTCTGTCTTATAAATCTGCGGTAAGTTGAAATGAAGACATGTTGGACTGGCTTGCAGGAACTGAAGACTGCAGAAGACGATTCTCAGTAGTGACTGGTAGGGGTTCTTGAGGATATTGATGAAGGCTTGAAGTTGTAGTTTCCGAAGGTTGTTGGTTGCGTGTTCAGATCACGTCGGGTGGTCACCACTGTGGCCGAATTAGGAAAAGCGGAGATCTCCCGCCGGGCGGTGTTATGTCCGGGGAGCGGCCACACTCCGTGTGATAGTTCGGAGATGTTCTATATATGCTGTTTATGATTCGAATGTTGATAGCGTGATTTAAGCTTCGGTGTGTTTCACTTGCGGTGCGACGACAGCACCGCCACAGGTTGTAGCTTTCAACATTAGTATCAAAACAACATTGGTCCATTTTCCTCAAATTGGCAAGGTAAAATAGCTTGACAAATGGTTCCCCCATGAACTCAATGATCAGCAGGTAACAATGCTGTTCAAAAGACTACTACTTTTGAACAGCATTGTTACCTGCGAAAAAATGAATTCTGTTTGACTATCGCAAGTGCTCAGCAAGTTGGTGAGATCCCAATTAAGTACCTAAATAATGTCCTAAACGAAAACTTAACGCTAGAACAGTGATGGTCACCGTATTCGGTGGTCTAGCGCCGGTGGGATTCATCACAACTTCTTACTAAACGGGATGAGCATTACAGACGTGTACTGTAAAGAACTGAACACAATGATGGGGAAACCCGCACGTCTCCAACAAGCTTTGGTCAATCGCTCGCCCTCGCTGCTCATGCATGACAACGCGCAACCTCATACTGCAAAAAAAGACGGTCTTCAAGTTACAAGAGCTGGGGTTGGAAGCTCTCCATCATCTGCCGTACTCACCAGACCTTGTGCCTACAGAATTCTACTTTTTCAGAATTTGGATAAGTTTTTGGCGGGAAAAAATTCAATACCTGATAGGCAGTACAGAAGGCTTGTGAAGAATTTGTTGCGTCCCGTCCAGCTGATTACTTCAAGAAGGGCATCATTAATCATCATCGTTGGCAAAGTTTTATCGACTGCATAGATGATTACGTTGATAAATAGAAGTAAAAAACGTAAACTTATTTCATAAGAAACGGCAATTTCATAGGTAAAGCCTAATATCTATATGAATTTATAAAAAATAAATTCAGTTTTCACATGACAATAAAAAGTCCACTGTATGTAGTACTTTTTTAAAGGTAGGTGATACTACCCCTAACCTTAAGGTTTTCGAAACCAGGCCAATTAATATACAAAAAATGAGTTGCCCATCGATTGGTACACTAACTTAATCTTTGGTTGCCGGTTGGTTAAGAAATGGCTGCGTGCAAGTTTACCGCTGTGCTTTGTTTTTAGAAAATATTTCTTGTACATATTTTTGTTGATTTTGTTTACTTACTGAAGAAAATGATAACAAAACAAGCTTAACCCTTAAGCAACTTTTTTTATAGGTTAGGGTGACAAACGAGCACACAGTCCACCTGATTCTCGATTACGAATCAAAATGCAGATGCGTTGTCACCCGTGAGGACTAAGATCCAGAAAGAGCCTCATTTCCAGTAAAAAGGATCTCCGGGTTTTTTCACCGACCATGTGAAACATAGCAGCATTAAGCTACTATTTTACGCTGGTATTCTGTGAGAGCGTGATCCTTCTCCGGTCGAGCCGACCCATTCGTGTTACAACTATACTACTAATATAACTACAGCATGGCTCTACTACGTATACGTACGTATAAAAATAAAGTAGATTCATTTCTTAACCCTGGAATTTTTTATTTATTTACACGTATTAAACTGTCCCCCTTTTGTTTTTATACGTAGAAATAAAAATGCAGCGGTATATCGAAAATATCGATATTATTGATCGATATATTGCGAAATATCGATAATTTTTGTACATGAACATCCCTAGTTGGTATCAAGTTGACATCAAATTGGAATTGACATTTAGCTGAATGTTTTGACGTTTATCTTTAAAATTTGCCAGTAATAAAATAAACACTATTGGGTATTACCATGAACACCAAGAGCTTCCCTAAGGGTTTAAATTGAGTTGAACAATAAACATATGTCCTGAAATAAATTTGGGAATTAAGTCGATAAAACTGATACACAGCGTCATTTTGCAATAATTTGCAAAATTTGCAGAAAAGGTTCAGAATAAGTAATAAAGGGAAATGTTGAAGAAAAAATAATTTAACAATCTCAAACAAGTCCTGTTTATGTTTTAAATTCAATTCAGTTATTGTTATCTTTAAAACATTATTGACCATAAATTACATTCAACTTGGGATAATTTCAAGTAAATATTAACTTATTTACTCGTAGTTTCAAAAATTTCTGTAACGGTATATGTTTATTTGTATATTTAAATTGAAGCTTAAAATTTAGCTACTCTTTAAAAAATTACCCTGTATAGATGTTTGTATATAATATATAAAGTACTAGAATACTCGTGACGACATAGAAATAAAAAAATCCAAATTACAAAAAGCTTTATAATCGTAAACATAAGGTTGCTTTTTACTTGCATTAATAGTCCGAGCGTTATCTATTGGTATGTCTAAAGAGTTTACTATTTGACACATGCTATTGACACCTGCCGGGAACATTCTCGTTCAATATTATGCAAGGAATATAGTACTCTCTAGCCGAGAGTGATGTTACGTAATACGCAACTGGTTGACGTAACGGTATAATTAGTTCATATGACAATAATATAATAATAATAATCATTATTATTATTCGCCTCAAATTATTCGCTTCCAGTCGCTCCCATCTTATGGAATTGGTAAACATCACTTGTGAATTTAGCAATTCTATTAGAATGGAGCTGGGGACGGATAAGTGTGCGGTTCTCCATGTTGAAAGGGCAAGGGTTGCTAAATCTGAGGGCATAGACTTATCTATGCCCGTCAACTTAAGAACCCTTTCCGAGACTGAAACATACCGATACCTGGGTATGTCACAGAACATCTCATGAGGCTGGTACGAAACAGTAGGTTTGCGACGTGTTTTATGCACGCTTGACCAAAGTGCTTAATAGCCTTTTGTCCGGTGTGAATAAGACACACGCATATAACGGCTGGGTCATGCCTGTCCTCATGTATACCTTTGGCATACTCAGATGGAGTCAGACTAAACTAAACGCCCTGGATGGAAAAGTCCGCACTACAATGACGTCCCATTGGATGCATCATCCGAGATCGTGGGTAATGAGGCTGTACTTACCGCGAAAGCATGGTGGGCATGGCTTCTTGAGCGCGTTCACCATGCATAATCGCGAAGTGTGCAGCCTCCGTCATTACTTCCTGGCGAGATCGGATGATCCATTCTATAATGACGTCATTTCTAGTGATAAAGGACTTACCCCTCTATCCTTAGCCAACGAGCAATCGCAGGACCCGGCAGTACAGAGCATTTCCGACCGGGAGACCGTATGGAAGGAGAAGGAGCTCCACGGGAGGTATTACAGGGTTCTACATGAGCCCCACGTAGATAAAGCCGCCTCCCTCAACTGGCTACGTTTCAGTGACCTCTTCGGGGGAAACAGAGGGTTTTGTCTGTGCAATACAGGATCAGGTTATTAAGACCAACAACTATCGGAGATACATCCTAAAGGATGGCACTGTCGACGTCTGTCGAGCTTGTCGCCATCCCGGTAAGTCACTTAGGCATGTCATCTCCGGTTGTTTGGCGCTTTCTAACTATGAGTACTTGCACAGGCACAACCTAGTAGCCAGAATTCTACACCTCGCTCGCGGAGCTCGCTTTGAAATACGGTCTCGTGGACCGAAAATTGCCG